GCATGGTGTGAGATATTGCTAAAAGTCAGAACTAATTTGTTTAAATGGCTTAAAGCTTAAATAGTTAATTATACAAGTTTAAATTGGCATCTAACACACATTAAGTAAGAATTCGATGAAAGCTTTTAGATAGTTGCTCGTAAGATGTTTTCTGGTCTAAGAATGGTTCTCTTATTGAACATTTCCTCTTTTTTAAATGAAAAACTAAAAAGTAAAAGAAGTAATTAAAGAACCGCTCAAGAAATTAAAGGAGAAGCAGGAATCCAAGAAGGAGGAAATCAAAGATGAGGAAGGAAAAAAGAAAGCCAGGAAAGGAAAAGATGCTACTGATCGAAAGGACAAGAAAGCTGTTGATATGAATAAATTAAAGAAAGATTCTGACAAGGCTAAAAAAGACAAAGGAAAAGAAAAGGAAAAAAGCCTAGACAAAAATGTGAAATCCAAGGAGGCTACAAAAAAATCAGCCAGTGAAAAGGATGGTACTATTCAGGTGGGAAAAGACAAAGAAACAAAAAAGATAGTTAAAAACCCCTCCAAGGAAGACAAGAAAGAAAAGAAATAAGCAGAGTTCTGGTTGTGCTAATGAAGAACAGACCTCAAGAATGAGAAATTCAGCATATTTATATGAATGTGGTAAATATGGCAATAAGAAGATAATGTTTTCTGGTAATAAGTGTGAACAAAGGCTATATTTAATCATTTTTTGAAAACTGTTGAGTGTGTACTGGCATTGTAAACACAAAGCAAAAATGTCTGCTGTGAATCTCAAATATGTACATATGTTAATATGCCTGGCTAACAATGTGTACTGAAAACAGAAATATCAAATTGATGCAAATTACTTCAAGCATACTCTAAATCTCGGGGGTTTTGTTTTGCCTGCCCCCCCCCATTAAAATGCTGTTTTCTTGATGTGGGGATGAAAGTGTACTGTTGTATATCAAATGCAAGTTTAAAAGCAATATTAAGAGGATTACCTGGACACACACACTGGAAACTCACGAAAAATATTTCTGTTTCACAAAAACAACCAAGAGGAGCATTAATAGAACGTATTGTCATAGGAACTTAGCAAATAAATGTAAATTATTCCCCGCTAAACTTTTTTCCCCTGTGTAGACTGAGAAGACTATTTTATACACGAACACTCAAACCAACTTTAGTGTTGCGTTTATTTATGAGACTTCAGTGTATACTCAACCGAATTTACTGATCCTGTGACAATACGTTCTGCCTTTCTTTCATCCTTTCTTTCTTTCTTTATTTATTTATTTATTAGCTATCTTTAGGTCTGAAAACTTGATTCACTGTCACTTTTCAGTTTACTGGGTCCTGATTTTTTCTGAGTTTTCCAAGCTTCTGGTAATGAATACTGCTGAAAATTAGGCCACCTATTTCACCATTGATGGGTATTGTTGGATTCCAATCACATTTTAAGAAGTGATATGTTACTACTGTATTTTGGTTGAACTTGTTTGGAGAACAGCTTGTGTATTTTTGCAACTATTATTTTCTTCAAACGATACTTTTGAAGTACGCGATACTTCTGTAAGCAAGCTCCTGTGTTAGTTTGCTCTTATAGCTTCTGTGTATTTAACACCAAGGAATGATTCATCTAGCAGCCTCATTAGAATAAACAAAGTTACAAAACATTTCTTCAGAGATTTTCAGTATGTTATTGAATCTATACTTGCTTTCAAGTTTATATGGAAAAGCAATATTTTCTAATTTTACTAGACAAATAATATCACTTAGTATGTAGAAATATTAATTGCACAATAAAATTACACAAGATTCAGAACAAAATTTGTAATGAAAGTTGAAAATTTATTATTGTAATACTGCAGTAATGTTTTAAAGAAAACAAAACTATGGAGTGAAATTGAGCACGAGTATATATATGTGGGTGGTGGTGTAAGAATCAACCTGAAGGTTGATTCTGTTTGTGGTTTTGCTTAAATTTTGTGTATAATAGTTGGCAATACACTTATCTCAGACTTTTGATACAGCACATACATGTCTCTCTAACATGCTTTGATCCATAGAGCTATAAGATGTGGTAATAGGGTAAGATATCTGATTTTTTTTTTTTTTTTTTAGAGGAAACTTATGAAAAACAGTTCAAATGAAAGCCGTAGAAAATAGTGCAGTAGCTTAACATTCTGGCTGTGATAATTAACAGAGATGATATACCAAGCTATTTTCTAAATATTTATATATGTGTGAAGAAGGAGGGAGAAGGTGTGTGTGTTATGAACATTATAGTGCTTAGCAAAAAACTTGACAGAATGAAGATCTAATAAATGCATTGCATAATGAGCATTCTCTTAGGTTTCGATGATGGTAGACATGTTTATTCATCTTTGCTCTGACAGATCGAGGAGCACTCAAATCACAGTTCTCAAGAATGGTGGCACAGTGGTATAGTGCACATCACTTTTTATTTTCTCCCTGATGTGACAAGAAGTTGTAACTGTCTGGGAGTGAAATTTGGAATGAATTGCCTTTCTGATAAACATATTATATCTATGACCCAAAGTTTATCTGGTTCTAAAAAAGTTTTTTTTTCCAAAGAACATTTTATTTAAGCAGCACTCCAAGCTATACAGAGAGCCACACAGTAAAATGAGATCTTTGCCCCAGAGATCTGTTTTGCTGTTGTATATCTCTATGAAATATTATTGTTGTTCGTCTTAACGTGGCAAGTTACCACAAAGCTCAAAAAATGCACCACACAGGTAAAAACTGAGTGCGACTTTATTTTGATAAAAAGATGAGAGAAAATAGTATCTTGCAAAAAGTAAATGACTTAACATATTATATATTCAACAGGATTGAATAGGAATTGGTGATAAACACGATAGATGTCTATAAAAAAGCTTGAAAGCAAAGTTGAGAAATGTGCAAGCAAAACAAAGAAATACTCTTGCTAGTCCCTTCTTTCCTTTTACGTGCCCTAAGTGCTTGAGGGCTGTGAAATATTGAATAGCTTTTGAAATACTTTGAATCCATTTATCGTTCATGAAGCAGAGCAAGTGGTTGTCTGGAATTGGAGATGTGAATTATCGGAGGATATGAGGACTCATTTAAAGAGGTGTATATGTAAGGGAAGTGAACTGTATTTGAAAGCAGGGTGGTTGTTTCTACGCCTCCAGATTCTGAAGTGTGAGACAGTGGCTAATATAAGTAACTGGTTTTATCTCCATATGTACTTAAAGATGATTGTAGAAGGAAGTAACTTCTTACTCTTGTAGCCATTAATACTACTGCAGCAAAAGATGAATGTAAGTCTTAATAATATTTTTGAATATTTCAGGGTTTTTTTTAATGACACAGAAGAAAATTGGCAAAAAATGAAGTGTAAATTTGGCTTTTTTTCTTCTAGCTTCTGATCTTGACTCCATAGTAGTGGACTCTTAGTTACAGTACTTTTAGGTGCAGCCTAACTACTTATCTTCATGTAATTTAACCAATACAAAAAGGTGTAAGTAGAATTAATTCTGTTATTCCTGTTCCCATTACTTATATAGTGTAATGGAATAAATATTTGTTTTTCTCACAATGCATAAAATAATAAAATATCTCTAGCTTACACAAAGTTGTTTTGAGGCATACTAGTCCTATTTGTATTGAGATATGTTTGACTCCAGTAGAAACCTGGTGATTATTTGTTTTGTTTTTTAAAAACTTTACTAACTTGAAATATAATACTTATTTTTCCACTTAAGGTTACTTTTACAAGACTGTTAGCAGTACAGGAGTGTTCATTATAGCATAGCCTCTGCTTTCTTAAATACTACTTTTCTCTTGATACCTGTGCATACAGCTCTTGAGAAACTAGCTTGTTTTGGGCAGTGTGTGTGTTTATATAAGAAGGCAGTTTTTATCTTAATTGACCTTGGAACTTAAATATGAACCTAGGAAGAATGACGTAGGATTATAGAAGGATTACATTTGGAAGGGACTTCAGGAGATCCTTATTCCAACATCCTGCTCAAAACAGGGTCATCTCAGAGGTATGATTAGGTTACGCTGGCCCTTACCCAGTGTGGTCTTTAAAACCTCCAAGGGTGGGAGTGCACAACCTCTCTGTGCAGCCTTTTCCACTGGTTTGACTATCCTCGTGGCGGGGTGTGGGTGGGTGCGTGTGCGTGGAAGTTTTTTCTTATATCCAGTCTGAACCTTTCTTCTTTAAGGCTTGCTTGAATCCTTCATAAAGGATGGTTGAGAGGAGGATTAGGCTAATACAAATACATTCCTTCTTGAGAATGTGGTGTCTTAAGATGTGCCATAATCTTTCAAGGCTATGAATTGTCTTTATCTCTTACCATGGTGTTGATCATTGCTGTTATTGGTTCTTTCTTTTCATTGTGTTTTGATCTAGAAAGACTCTGTGGTATAGACAGTAAGCATCTTAGTGGTGAAATTCCATCAGTCATACTTTTTCTGTAGTAATTTAGTTGTCAAAAGAAACTGGAGATTGAGATTACCTTATTTGGAAGAAACTACATTTCTCTTCATCAGATCTTCTAAGATTTAACATGTGAATTTAAAATACCTCTTCTCATTCTGAGCAGCATGGTATAAAGTTCAAATTAGTTCATCACCTATAAAATTGATCATATGAAGCCCTTTTTGCCCAAACAGAAAAACAGCGAGACAAACCTGCTGCTTATTTTTCTTCAGGATACTGAATAGGTGTTGAGAATAGCATAGTCCTTTGTTCAGTTACTTTGAAATAAAGGCAAATGCTTAAATTTCTGTCCCTTTTTTCCCTTCATTGTATGTTTGTCTTCAAAACGTGTATGTTTGCTATCTGCATACACTTTAGTCTTTGTATATATCAGTGTGTATCAGGACAGCCCTGTAATTATGATTAGTTGTTTGAATACATTTTGGAGAGTTTAACGTCAGTTAATTTAATTGAAACAACTTTCTTAGTTTATAATTGAATCAGATCAAAAAGAGCATAAAGTTAACTTTATAACTGAAAAATGCAGGCCTTAAAGAAAGATCTGTCCCAGCACAGCCATCATCACCAGAATCTGAGGAGACCATCCAGCCTGCTGAGAAGTCATATGTCGAATCAGGTAAGGCTTTTCGTAAACCATAGGTGAAACAAAAGACACGATGCTTCATTTGAATTATAATTCTGTTTCCTCAGCATGCAAACTCATTGTGTTATTTCTTTGGGTAGAAAAATAAATCTTTCATTGATTTTATGTGTTGCTTAATGGGAATCACTGTTGATAACTTTATATAAATCACTGACCATGAAAAGTTTATAATTTACATGTATAGAAGGCACTCTTGTCAGCTGTTCTGGTTACCATTGGAATCATATCACATCAGAATAATTTTCTGCTGATGTACAGTTGGTTTTGATGTGTATGCAACAGTATACCCACTCAGAGTAACAGCAGAATCTCCACCTTAAAAAAAAAACCAACCAAACAAACAAAACCAAACAAAACAACTCCCAACAACCAACTTCATAAGATTAATCAAATATTCACTTTTCCACTAAAACCAATAGTATATCATAAATGCAATAAATACAGCTTCTAGCATTGAAAAAACCATTTAAACCTTTTAAAAGCCCCATAAGTGTTAGTAAAATTTATTAGGTTCAAGAGGAATTCCAAGAAAAAATATTTTTACATGTCACATTTCAGATACGTGATTTGCATTTTAGGGTTTTTCAGAGAGTACATGTTTTTTTCCTGTTCCTTGAAGAAGCTTATCCTATTTCATGTTTATGTGAACCTAACACAATAACCCACAAATGTGGAGCTTATGGTCAATCAAATGGAATATAGAATTTGTTTTGAAAGACTTGCATTACTTTTCTGAAGTTATCATTTATAAAATATATCAAGATGTCGTTTCCTTTTTTGTTTTTCATAACTGATACCGTTTTGGATCGTTACTTGAAAAATGCAGCTGTGATTTGGTTTCATGCTCTTGAGTTTCTCAATGTTAATTTCAGGACGTTTATATGAAGGCAACACTTCATACAAATTCCTGTTATGTCCTGGGCTGGTGTGTTAGATGACAATCACTTGTCCCTGAAATCAGTTTGTGATTTATTCTGCTATGAATTGCCAGAGGAAGGCCTTGATATTGTAATGTTAGTATCTCTTTTCCCTGTTTATAAAGGCAGCAAAACCCCACTTCTGCAAGTGACATTTTGTCATCAAATATAACATGCTAGTGCTGCTGCCTAAGTTGTAGGAAAGTAATGGATGAAAGTGTTAGTAAAATAATTACTTAGAATTCTTGGTTTGAATAGTTATCTGAAGTTGTTAATGTTACTGCCACTGAGAAAAAGATATGTGCAGAAAATGCGGTGTAGATAAATTCTTCCGATTCATCTTCAGAATGAATCTGATGTGATTGGTGCAATACTTTCCATATTGGAGAGTAAGCAAAACCAAATTGTTTTAGTAATTGCGTGAGTTGCAGAGGTTCACCAAGTCAATCTCTACAGAACTTTATGGAATGGAATACTAACTTTATGGAGGCTACTAAAAGCTGCAAGGCTTGAGCTAATGTTTGGACTTTGCATTTTGCGCTTACCTTCGTTGCAATTTATAATCCTTTTAGAGCACAAGAATGCTGACATAGAATTGGAAGAGGAAATTCAGTCTGTTCTTCATGAAGCTCTCCATTCCCAGCCTGGTAATGCACAAACACTTAGAAATCACTGAAGAATTTATAAATACTGCCATAGGCTAGACAAATCTCAGAGTCTGGTTTTGGTATGCAGTTCAAGTAGTTTTGCCTACATAAAACATTCTAATTAGCTAATTTGTCATTTTCAAGAAAATTCAAAAAGTTCAGTCACCAAATCCTAAAACTGTGGCCTCTTACCCAGAGGTGTTTGGCAGCAGTAGCTCAAATCAGTCAGTTGACAAAAACTTCCTCAAAATACTGTGTAGAATGCAAGAATGGGTAAATAGAGATGGCTTTTACTGTGGTTTTCTCCAGGAGCAAGGCGGCACTGGCAAGTAAGTGCAGATACTTTGCGTTTATACTGCTGGAAGGTGCAGACAAGTCATCTGTCCCCCTCCCCATCCCCTTTGGGGACTAGTTGAAAAACATGAAGGGTGTGCTGAAGACTGAGTATGTGCTGGTAATAGAATTTACCAAAGAATATCTATTCTCTAACAATCTGTATTATTGATTAGGAGAGAGACATGAAGACGTAGATGAAAGTATAAATGAGCAGTGGCAAGTGAAGGAAGAAATACATGGAGAAACTTTTGAAGCACCTACAACAGATGACTTGCTCAGAGAATTAGAGAATGAAATGCCAGAAGCATATGAGACACCAGACTCAGTTCAGAAAGGTATCTGAATGACTAAATATATTTAAAATTAAATTTTGCCAACAATAAGAACAGACAAATGGAAATATGTCTCTTTAAAAACTTGACTCATAATTTCTACTTACAGTAGAGACTTAGCAAATGTCAACCACAACAAGTTGTATTTAGCAAATATTTTTTAAATCAGAATGGGATATTTTAATGCCATGTGTTTTGGAATCCAGGTAACTATATATAATTATTATTATTTACTTACTGCTATATTGGCTTTCAACCAAACAAATCAATCTGTGCTCTAGGTATGCATATCTCCCTCAATAGAGGGACTTCTGTAGTATCTATATGGAGTCTGCTTCTGGACTTTCTGGTTTATTAAATTAAATTTTAAGAGTTTATTAGCACAGCCTTTTGTAGACAGACTTACTCTCGCTCTACTTTCCTTCTAATGTGGCTCTCTAAGAGAATGTTATACATGAACTATATTGCAAGTCCTGCTGAGAACATAATATCATATAAAGAAGATGATCATATCCTGCTGCCTTGGAGCACTGACAGGATGATAACATTTGTTTGCAATCAAAATATTAAAGCGGAATCATATGATCTAAATCTAACTTAGGGAAAAATATTTCTGAATGCTTTTTGTCTGCAGTACTGAAAATTTTACATATATCTTAATAACCTCTTTTTGAAAAACGCATGTAATGGATGTCATCTAAAAGTTTTGATTGCTGGAAGTACACTGAGATTCTTCACAGCTGAAGTAATTCTTTTCAGCCTGGGTCTATTATACCTCCTTGTTTCTGTATCTCTTCTGTTCATCCACAGTGCAAGTTAAAGTATGGGAATAGAGGAGAAATTCAAATTCCAGTTACTTTAAATCTTTACATTTACTATTAAGAAGGCAGAGTGAATATGTTCTACTTTCTTTACGTTTACACAGAAATTTCTGTGGATAGTCATCTTTTTTTGAGCAAATGTGTATAGAGTTTATGTGTGTGTGCACATTCTCAGTATTATATATAAGAATAAAATTATCAATTTTATTTTTTCAATCTATATCTTGCTGGCATTAGAAGAAATTTGCTTAGAATTTCTGCGTAGAAATTTGACTCTATTCTTACATAATATTCTGTTATAGGGTTTGTGGTATCATGTATTCATTTAAAAATTTTAAAATTTGTAAATACATATTTGTTTCTCAGATGCTGATCTTTTGGCAGATGATCTTGGAGCAACGGAGCCTGAACCATATGAAGCTCCAGGTATAATTTTGTTTTTCTAAACTCGGTAATATTGGTTTTCTGCCTAAATGTAGCAAATTATATGAGAAAGAAAAATAGAAAAGGTTAGACTGGTTTAGTAATATACAATTTTGAAAATTTTTTTTTTTCTCCAAACAACTGTTCTTAATTGTCTTGGATATTTTTACTCTGACTGAGATGACTGTATCATATTTGCTATTGCAAATGGTTCTTAAAAAGAACAGATGATAGGTATGGAAACTTCGCTTTCATTGGCGCGAAAACTTCATTTTTACTTTTTTATGTGTTTCTGGTTGTTGTGTATGATTGGGGTCTGGATAGGCAAGAGATCTGTGGTTGTACAGTCTAAGAGTGAGAATGAGATTTATTGCTTATATTACTGTCTTCTTACAGTCTACAATGCTAAGGTTCTTCTAGCCTATTATTCTTGGCATTAGTCAGAAACTTGTGTTCTCACGTGGAACCTGTCGCCTTTCAGAAGCATCCAGTTTGTAACCTTTCCTTCAGGACTGTTTGTTTCTTTATGGCCAATTATACTATCAGAGAGTGAGTCAGCACCAAGGACTTCATTCTGAACTATCCTTGCACTGTCTTTCTGCACACCCTAATTCATCTTTAAAGCTTTTTGAAATCTTTCCTGGACTAATCCAGTTAGCTTATAGTCATCTTCATGTGTGCTTGATATCACATACAATGACATTGGCTCATCTTTCCCATTGTGAAGAAACAGTAGGTGAATATTACAGTTTCCTTGCTATCTGATAAGTATTTTCTTCTGGATGCTAATAATGCTGCTTTGTAGTACAGGCAGCCTCTTCCATTTATATTAGACATGGACTAGGCTTCTTATCTTTGGCTCAATGTTAGTTCTGGACTTTACAGTCTTGTTTGATGCCAAATATGACAGAAAAATAATTTTATTTTTTTGATACAGCTGAAACTGCTTATTCCTATCTTTGTGGGAGATTTACTGCTTTCCAGTTACTGATTTATAATCCAAGCTGCGATGCTTCCAAAGTAAAAGGATAGTTACTTTACCTTCAGTACCATGTGTTGTCAGATGTATCGAACTGAGTATATTAATAACATCACAAAGAACTGTAGTCACAGAGGAGAGTGATCCACATATTTAGCTATGCAATGAAAAAAAGTGAATTGGTCTAAACCTGCGATGCCAGAAGTGAATGTACATATTTCTCAAGGTTTGATTTCTGGCTCTTATCTTGTCTTCTGTAGATCATCACCAGTGGTCCTCCTGCACATTAGTAAAGAAGCTACTTTAGAACTTTGAGGATAGGAGAAGGTTACATTTTTTTATTCATATTAGAAGAACTATTAAAAAATATTCATGGAGACTAATGGCTCTTGTGGATCTAGTTTACATACAGAGAGAGTATAACAGGGGACTAGAAGAGAAGGTGGCCCAACACCTTCCATTAGATTTCCATGTGTCAAGTTACAAGTGTCTGTTTGTAAGGTTTTAATTTGTCAGTTTTCAACTAAGGAGCTACATTTAGCTCTTGACAGACATGTTATGGATGCAAGTTAAAATAATCGAGTATTAAAAATATTTCATATTTTTAATTTAAAAATATTTCATATTTTTAATTTAAAAATATTTCTTTTTTCATATTTAATTTACAGTTTCATATGAATATGATACGGATGTGGAAAAGACAGTAAGTGATCCAGAAGCTCCAGGTTTGTAAATTTTCATGACTTCAGATTATAATATGATCACTTACACTTTTTTTAAACATGCTTCAAAGTAATATGTCATATTGACTGTTTTGTCACAGTTTTATTTTCAAACAGTTTTTCAGGTAGTTTCAAATAAGCCTGATTTTTGCAGCTGTGTTACTGTTACAGTTGTGAACACAATACTCCCCGAATCCAATCCACAAATACTTAGATAAATATCCTGTTCTGTCAGGAGTCTTCCAGTCTAATCAATGGACTGTCTAAGACCTATTTGTATTCCTAATTTTAAGCCTAAATACAAATATGCATGAACTTATTATATTGTGTGACTAATGGTGTAGCTCCTAGATGTGTTTTACAATCCAGCTGTCACTTCTAAATAAAACATTGTAGTATTAACTCAGTATGTTTAGTTCTGTTACTCTTGAGCTAACTATACGACCTTTTTAACTTCTCTTGTGCTATTTAGCTGTTACATGAAAATTTGATTAGAATATAAAATATTAAATATTTATGTTTAAGGTGACTCTGATCTAATGCTAGAAGATGCTATTGAACATTACACAGGTACAGTCCAAAGTCTTATTTCTTTTTATTGACGTTTCGTTGAATTTTGGCCCCAAACCAGGCCAAAAAACCCCAAAACATTGGAGCTCATAGATAGCATCAGTGCCTAGTAGGTTATTACATCTATATTTTTATTTATGTTCTGAAAAAAATATGAAGATCTACAAGAATACTACTTTTCTGTAATGTCAGCCAAATGGGCAGAATAATATTTTGAGGGTTAAATTTGCAGGAGAATGGATGTTTGTATTTTGAATTGCATAGAAATGTTTCTGTGGATAAAAAGTAATTTGAGTTTGCCAAAGGTGTTGAAGATTAGTGTGATAACTGTCAGGAAAAAAAGTAGTTTCTTTAAAAATATTTTTTTAAAAAGCAAGCAAGCCATAACAAACGGATTCCAAGATTCCACTGTAGAAGTTTGCTGTATATAGAAACGATTTATGAGTATTTGCATTCTGAATTGTAGGTAGTTTGTAGGTGATTTCATGAACTGTATAAGAAAAGCCCACTGGTCGTGCTTTATGTTTTTAAGTCTATCTTGTGATGCCAAAAAATGATTCAGTTCTTTTCACAGAATCTTTTAGAAATCTTCATCTTTGTTGAACTCTTACTAACTTTAATACAGTATATAATACTATAGTTTTGAATATCTTTTTTTGTCCTGAATAAACTTGACACTGTATTATTTGTGTATATTTCTTGTCTTAAAATTCCATGAATTTTTATATCGTTTTTTTTTTTCTTTAAACAGAGGATAGAGTGCATGGGGATTATAATGAAGACCATGGTATGACAACTGCTATATTTAGTGAAATGACAGTATCAAAGTCTTACATTAATATGAAAGTGAAATTACTTGTTCTTAAAATTTTCCATGCTGTCACATTACTTTGTAAGTTCGCAGTTACGGGTTTGTGGGGTTTTTTATGTTCAAACCCCATGTGTATGTAAGCAATCAATTGGTCTTTAACACTGGAACATGTGTAGAGTATGTGTATAGGTTATATTCCCATATTTGTCCTCTTTGTCATACTTTGTACTTATGTGGCATAGGAATGTTGAAGACTTTGCATGCCCTTTTTCTTATGAAACCCTGTCCAAGTCAGCTGTGGTTCATTGCAGCTGTATAGCTCAGTGTTACCTTCTCATCTTGTCAGTAACTACCAGTTCTTTGGAGATGACTCTGTTTTAGTTTGATTTGGTTAATGATTTGCTAATGATTGCTGAGACCAAATCAAAAAGTAAACGAGAAGACTAGTGGTCACAGTCTTGAAACAAAGGTATGTGGTTGTGATTCCTTTTGTGAGATCCTTCTGGGGGACTTCAGAGAAGTTAAGCATATCTTCAAAACACTCTTGCTTATTTTCAGTGTTTATAACCTGATCAAAGGACAGCGATTCTTCACTTCAAAATATTTGAGACAGAAAACCTTGCGGTTCATTCTTTGTCATTAGGAGGGAAATTCTGACATCAACCTTTGGGATGGAAGTCAAAATCCCATTGAAGGACTTTCAGTGGCCCAAAGATATATTCAGCCCTTAGTCCATGTCTCTCTGAGTCTGCAGAAAAGAATTATTTGCCTCAGCTGTGATTCCCTTGTCAAAATATGTCAGCATCAATAGGACAGAAAAACAAGAGAGACCTAGCTTTTTCCCTGGGCTTATTGTTTACTCTCCTTTCCAGGAGATACTTATTTTACAATCAGTTCCTAATCAAGAATCACTTCTCTTGCTTCTCACACCTAGATATGAAGGAGGAGTGCAGCTTTTAGTCTTTACTCTTCATGCTTCTTCATATATAGTGGTGACATGAACAGGGAGCCCTTCCACGGTCCCTGCCCTCGGGAAGAGTCATCTATACCTGCTTTTGGAGTAACATGATTGTGGAGGTTCCCAAAGTAATTTGCATCAGTTTTCCATAGAATCAGTTCCAAAACCATTTCATATTCTGCAGTCTCTTCTGGCCCCGACACAATAACAGTGAATCACTCTATTTTTGTGAGTAGTTCATGTGCTTTGGCAAGCGGTGGTTTCGTGTGTGATTGCTAGTGTGCTGCAATGAGAGTTTTAAATAGTATCAGAAAAATCAGATTTAGGTTTTTCCTAGTCTTTCTTCACTATTCCAAATCCTCTGATTAAGCTGATGAAGAGAATAGGAAGTTCCATTCTTTTTCTCAAAAGGAAATTCCAAGGTAGGAGGTGATTGTCGAAAAATTATTATTCTTGGCTACTAAATTGCGAGGCTTTTTTACACAGCCTGCAGTTCAACATAATCCATGACAAACTGCTTTTCTCTTCGTAAAAGTTCACGGCGGAAATTTGCCTTGCTTCTAAGTTCTCCCTTCAAGACATTCTGGTTATGAAAGAAAGCACAATGCTTCCTTTGTACTTTTTAGAGGAATTTCATTTGAGAGCTCCAGCCTGGAGCAGTGTAGAAGAAAAAGACCAATCAGATGAGGCATTGAGTGTTCTTGGCATTTACAAGATTTAATTAATTTTTTTTTTTTTTAAACACCCCCCCCACCCCCACCGAAAGTTACATGAAGTTACAAAGTTATTTGGAATTTCACTGTTTGTTTCAAGAGCGGACCTGTGTACAGGTGTTCTAGGCACTCATCAGTGTCTCAGAAATAACCAGAGAAAATAATCAGAAATTGCTGTCAGGATCCCTAGAAAAGATGAGAGACACCACTGGGGAAGACAGTCTAATCACACTCAGTCCTATAAGCTCATCTTACGTTGTCAGTCCTTTAAGGTTTGAGCTAACCAGCCAATCACAGATATCTCTGAAGATGTGCTGGAAGATGTGAGGCTGTCTTTCTGTGACACTGTTTTTTCCTTCTGAGTTCAGTCTATTCAGTTTCAGGATATGGGAGTTGTAATTGTTCATGAATGTGTGCTAGACATCATTTTAGCAGTTGTAGTACCTAGTTTTCATCCCTGTTGTCTCCTGGCCCGTCTTTCTTGTACCTTTTGACATGCTTTTGGTTGGATCAAAAATGAAACAGATTTGCTTTTTTTCTGGAGAAGAGAGATTTTAGCACCTGTTTTCTAAAGTCAAAAGAAGGGATGGAGGCCATCGTGGAGATCTGAAGTTCTTTCTCTCAAATGTAAAGCTTATGTTTTTTACATTAGTTCCAAAATTGCAGTTCGCATCCTCAAGAAGATTCACTTTAAAGCTTTAGATGCGAATGTCTGAGAAATCAGCAGAAGTATAAGCTTCTCTATTCTAGACTCAATGTATCTTCACCATCTCTATCAGGTGTGTTTCCCCTCTTCTGGCAGACCCTCTGACGTACTATTTTCTCCAATCCTGGTGCTTCCTAGAATTCTCAGAAAGCTGAGGGTGTTGCCAAGATGATTGTTGGCCAGAGCAGTTCAGTTTCTCTTCTGACTCTTGTTTTGTATGACTTGGTTCTTAATTCAGATGAGCAACTAGCTCTAATAGGATTGCAGTTCCTGTAATCGCTTCTACCTTGCATGGTGTTGGGAGAAACTGAAGGCCTATGGTAGGCTGCGCCCACTTTGTGTGTCCAGCGTATTGAAGGGAGCTGTTTCTTCATAACCTTCTGCGGTTATTCCTGATGCTAAAAATTCTTTAGTTGAAACGAGGGTATGTGCCCACACTGAAGTGTGTAAATGGATTGATCCTGTAACTTGGAATATAGGAACTCAGTTACAACTTCCAGTAATTTTATGAAGAGTTTTATACAGTTCGTAGCAGTGAAACAAGAGAAAGAAGGGAAGTTTGAGATTTGCATTAGAAATGAAGAGTTCTGGATGTTTTTTTAAGAACATGCTGTAAGAACTTCTTTTTAAAGGGTGGAGCGGGAGCCAAGTGACTATTAGTGCCTTTTAAGATAAAACAACAGTAGAAAGATTTTATTTTTTAAAAAATCTTATGTAAATAACCTTTTTTCAGATGAGGGTTAGTACCTGTTAAGATAATGAAATTGTCCAAAACACTGGATGAACACTGAACTTCTTTAGTTCCACAATTCACAGTAAATGTATATTGAAAATTCAGACAATTAATGGATAGCATTTTGTCTATTTTCAGACATTATCTAAAGTAAAGTAATGAATATACTTAACCTATTTCTTCTTTAGAGTTACAAAAGTTAGACTGGCTCTTTACTCAAAGATTAGGAGTGTAGGTGAATTATAACAATTGTACAAATGATAGCTTTATTGTTGTCATTGTTTTCAGTATTTCATCTGTGTAGATAGAAATGCTTGAAATTTCAGCATTATGTTCACATTTGATATTTGTTTTCTGTCTAGAATTTCTACTACAAGTTCCAGTAAAGGTTCATGTATCTATTCAGGACCCAAAACTGGAGAGAGTCTTTGAGAGCTTTGCATTTATCAGTAAAGAAATGAACTGGATGCTTAACAACCAAATTTTTAGGATGCTTCATGCGTATCGACCACCCAGGAACTTTACTTTTCTTTCCTTTCAGAACCAAAACATGAAAAGCAGACTGAGACTCAAGATACAGGTATATACCTATATATATACATATGTGTGTATGTATATGTGTGTGGGTGGGGTGTGTGTACACTCCCTCACACATCCCCCCATCTATATATATTTATATATATGGAGTATAATAGAAAATCTTTGTTTCATATGTAATTAAAATAGAAATACATCTAAAGTAAATGTTATTTGGAATATAAATGATTTTCAAAATCAGAGGAATATTTTAGTAAAGTTAGAATAAAAATCATTAACTTAATTTTGCTATTTATTTATATTGAAATACGTAATCTGTGTGATCTTCAATCACGATATATTGCCAGTTATGACAAAGGTGCATTACAAGTCTGTGTAGTTATAAAGTTAGGTTTTTGACTATGAACTGAGACACCTTCTTTTACTATACCATCCTTGAGGGTTCATTTTTAAGGTCTCAAGTGACAGAGTGGGGTATGTGAGGCTTTTTGTGGACATTTGGAACACAGTAGTTCAGCATAGACACTCAGTCTGCTGTGAGCCGTGCTCATAACCTTGTACCAGTGCTTAAGATCATTCAGAATTTACAGGCTGTCAATACTAGCTCTGCTTTGATGTATACTTTTTGCTAGTGCCTTTGTCTAATTAGTAGAAGCAATTAAAAAATTATTTGTGTGCAGTCGTCTCTCTGGATCCTATATACTTTGTTGTCTTGAAATACCAGCTCTTTTGAGAGTCATCTCTGACAGCTGATTGAAAAAGACACAATTGTTTAGTTTAGAATGAAGTCAAGAAATTCTCTAGTGTAAATAAATTGTAAGTACCCGTTTTGTCACCTTTGTGATCATAAGCTTAAGAGGACAGTCAAATAAGTTAAAAGGTGCCATATTCAAAGAAAATAAAAGTAATTTATTTTTCCATGGAATCCATAATTTAAGTTGAAGAACTTGCTCATTGTCCTTCTGGAAGGAAAGTAGGACCCACCATGGAATTGCATGTTTACCCAAATAAGAAGACTTTTAAAGTAAAAGATTACAGGTTTTTCTGGTTTGGTTTTTAATATGTCTAGCAGATGGAGTTGATGCTGCAAAAAATGAAAATGGGAGTACTGATTATGCTTAGAAAAATTAAGGGGTGTTTTTAAAGTTACTGTGTCTTAATCCAAACATTTGTTCAGAAGGTACAATTTTGAAATATTTACCTAATGAATACAGCAGTTCTTTAGTGAAACAGGGAAGAAAATTTAAGAAGTAATTTCTTTTTTTCCCTCAAATTCATCCAAGTTCCTGTTTGTTTATAGCAATTTACTGTTCATGGTTAAACATGTCTGTACTAGCTATGTTGTATGTTTTTGTTCTATGTAAGTTTCATCAGTTGAGGGCCTGACTTCATTATTGCTCTGAATTGAATGTTTTCTTAGCTGTTGAGGACCTTCTGGAGGATGTGAATGAAGCCATAGAGCCAGGTATATATTTTGTAATTGTGATCTTAAAGTGTTTTGATGAAATATATGTATTTTGAAATCTGATGTTAAAAAAAAAAAAAGATCATTATATATTTTTTTCTCTTTATACTTTCTTGTATAGATGAAATTATTGAAGATTTTGATATTGATAAAGAGCTGTCAGGTATGAGTTTTTATAGTTGGTGAAAAAAAACATTTTTTTTCTTCCATTTATATTTGTTAATATAATTAAAAACCAACCAAACAAAAAACGAAGCAGAGAAATGTACTATATAGAATCATAGAATGGGTTGAGTCAGAAAGGACCTTTAAAGATCATCTAGTCCAAATCCCCTGCCATGGGCAGGGACATCTTTCACTAGATCAGGTTGCTCAGAGCACCATCCAAACCCGACTTTGAACACTTCCAATGATGGGGCATCCACCACTGCTCTTGCCAACCTGTTCCAGTGTCTCACCACCCTCATTGTAAAAAATTTCTTCCTTACGTCCAATCTAAATCTAACCTCTTTCACTTAAAAACCATTGCCCCTTGTCCTGTCACTACAGGCCTTGGTAAAAAGTCTCTCTCCATCTTTCTTATAAGATCTCTTTATATACCAAAAGGCTGCAATAAAGTCTCCCTGGAGCCTTCTCTTCTCCAGGCTGAACAATACCAACTCTCAGCCTTTCTTCATAGGAGAGGTGTTCCATCCCTCTGATCACTTTCATGGTCCTCCTCTGGACCTGCTCTAATGGGTCCGTGTCTGTCTTGTACTGGGGACCCCAAAGCTGGACACAGTCCTCCAGGTGAGGTCTCACGAGAGAGGAGTAAAAGGGGAGAATCGCTTTCCTCGACCTGCTGGCCACACTTCTTGTGATGCAGCCCAGGGTATGGTTGGCTTTCTGGGCTGTGAGCGCACGTTGCCGGCTCATGTCCGATTTGTCAACCACCAGTATCTCCAAGTCCTTCTCCACAGGGCTGCTCTCAATCTATTCAACTCCCAGCCTGTATTGATACTGGGGATTGCCCTGACTCAGGTGCAGGACCTTGCACTTGGCCTTGTTGAACTTCATGACGTTCTTATGAATTACTTAGAGTTTCATTTTGAGGAATAGTGTGTTAATTTCCTACATTACTAATCAAAAAGATCAAGTTGTAAATTTTTGTTTGTTGTGCTGGTGTCAGGGAATTTTAAATGAGTGCCGGGTCAAATGTAATTTGAAGATTTGCTCTAAGAAGTTAAAAATATCATTAAGCAAGATTTTTTTCGAACATGACTTTATTTAGTCAGCTAGAGCAAAGTGATCTAAGCAGTTTAGTTTGAGCAAAGTGTGTAGGATGAGGTGCTGTATTTATTTAGGTTTCCCACTTGAAAAATGTGTTCTAATATAATTAAATGGGGAAATAAACATCATTGTTTCACACAAACAACAATTGTAACCAAAATCACTTTTGGGGGTGTACTAGGAATGGAAGTCAATAACAAGAAGGAGCTAAACTTTTGGACATGACATGCATTCAGTACCTTTTTTTCTACTGTTAAACTGTAGAACAACCAACTAGGTTAACTTAAGTCTTCCTTTTTGTTTGATGGGTGGCTGGTGGGGAATAAAAACAAAATTGTGAACGTACTATGTGTAACTTTGAACACTTACTTTCTTTGTAACAGTAGAAAGTAAGCATACAGAAGATGATGTGGCCACTGAACCAGAGCAATCAGGTTTGTGTATTATCTTTTGCATGAGTTTGCTACTTCGAGAATGATACATATCACAGAATAGAATTCTGTGCTGCAATAAAAATACATTTGTAACTTTTTCTGCAGCTTTTTTTCTTTTAAGGACAAATATAACTGTGTAGTTGGAATCTAGCATCTTGGGTTTTTTAATGACAATATTTTAATGGCTTGCAGAGCACTCTTCAGTTTTAGAAGCTGAGAGTGCTCGCAGTTCAGAAGAACTTGCAGTGATAAAAATGGCCATATTAGGTCATGTGAAGCTGAAGACTTCTTTGCTGTGCTGTTTTCCCACCAGCCAGTAGTGCGTACTCAGGAAAGAGAGTATATGTAAGAAATAAAATGAAGTGGGATGTCTCGCCTTCTTTGAGCACTTTATTTATGGGCTTCCTGAGTCAGAGAATGTATTTCCCTCTCTTCGATTCTTCTTGCTGCCTACAGCCAGCATCTCGGCTATTACGAATTCTTTTCTGTTGAGCCTGACACCCTCCATGCATGAATAGGGAGCTGTGTGCAACCTTCAGTCTTATTAGCAGTAAAAGCACTTGGTGACATGTGACATGTCTAATTTAAACATACACACAGAATTAAAAAGAACTAAGGTTTGAAGTAAAATATTTCACAATTACAGCTGAGAACATAATAAGTATATGAATGCTTTCTAAGCCCATACTGTAGTAGCTTGTGAAACTGTGGGAGATTTGTGCTTTGCATAGTGTAGTTTCAGAATTTTGAAGTATCATTTTTGAAACTGTGCAATCCTGCAATTTACTCATTGGCCTTAAC